AGAAGAAGAAGAAGAAGAAGAAGAAGAAGAAGAAGAAGAAGAAGAAGAAGAAGAAGAAGAAGAAGAAGAAAGAAGCAGCAGCAGCAGCACCGGCCTTAGACACTCTTCTCCATTTCTAGAGATCAAGAATTGAATAAAGCCAAGGGTAGGGTTGGTCACACACAGGAAGTAAAGCTGCATAGATTAGAGAAACTGAGGTGCTTGCTCAGGTCAAGGTAGTAGTGGAAACAAATATTCTCACATGCATTCGTTTGTGAGAACCAGTTAAACATTGAAGAAATTGTCAGGGCCGATTTCAAGGATATCCATCCAGAAAAAAAGACAGTTTGACAACTCTAAGTTCACGTTCAGAATGTTCTACCACAAACCTGGTCTTTTCAGTATAGAGGGAAGCAGCTAGTGTGTGGTTTCCGTGAGTGGATCATCTGTGCTAGACACTGATTCATACTGGGGTCTGTCCCTGTGACGTAAGTGGCAACAGCAGAGATCAGTGATGTCAGCTCACCGTGCCACACTGATGACCAGAAAGACCACTCTAGAGTTTATGAGAAAAATGGACAGATTCACAGCAATTAACTGTAGTACCATCTCTCATGCTATAGGGAGGCTCTTGCAATTTTCCCATTGTTGATACACTGAGATTTTTTTTTTCATCCTTTAGAGCAAATAAAGCTGCAATTCTAAGCTATAAATTCAGAGGTGACCCTTTATAGATTATAGACAAACAAGTTAGAAAACTCAAGGGCCAGCATAGTGGGTGCTTCAGTGTGGATAGGGAGTGTCTGTCAAAGGTCCATGTGCTAAGGGATGACTCCCTGCTTGGTCTTACAAGAAGGTAGGAACAGTGTGAAAAAGTTAGGTCATTGGTGGTGTGACATTGAAGGGGATGGTAAAATGGGACTAAGTCCCCACCCCGCCTCCATCTTCTTTGCTTCCTGGCCATGAGCTTAGTGGTTCTCACTGCTGTGTACTCCCATCATAACGACATGGGGATAAGGGGCCATGGCCCCAAACCACGGATGCCATCAGACAAAATCAACTTCCCTACCTGTATGCTCATTTAGCTCAAGAATCAATAGTGGTTATACCAGTGTAATGCTGGCTGACAAAATGTGGAGTTTGTTTTATATATTTTTATTACTATTTTTATATATTTTATTGTCATTATAATTATATTTATTATTTTTTATTTGACTACTGAAATGAGAAATTCTGAATCCATACCAAGCTACAGCCCTAGAACTTTGTAGTAAGCTAAGAGGATGGTTATGGACTATTACTGCTCATAAAAATGTTTTCTAACCAACATTTTTAATATTGAGCACTTGGTTGCTGTGGGCATTTTATGTGAAGTTTATCTTTGAAGATGCTTCAGATTAATTTCTCTGGGTCTCACACACACACACACACACACACACACACACACACACACACACACAGAGCTGTTTCTAAACCTATCAGTTTCATGTCACAAGCACATATTCTTGTCAGTGTCCATACCTGAGATGATGAGGAATTACCATGTGTTTTCTTTTCTTTACTCTATGTATTATAAAAGAGAACACTCTAAAGAAACGGTCTCTCTCTCTCTCTTTCTTATTTATTTATTTATTTAAGGTCTCACTGTATAGACCTGACTGGCTATAGAACTAACTATGGAGACCAGATTGCCCTCAGACTCATAAAGCCCTGCCTGACTGAGTGAGCTTTTAATGTCCCATAATTCTGCACTTGTGAGGCTGAGACAAGAGGGTCACAAGTTCCAGGTGAGCTTGTGGAAAGGTCTTCGTCTTTCATGTATTTCTTCCCTGTCTCTCACCATGCAATGTTCTTAACCCCAGCAGAAGTCACCAGATTCCAAGCAAATACTCATGCAGAAATATTAATAACCGTCTTAATAAACCAGGTATTCAGACTAAGACAGCTTACCTGTCTCGCTTCCAATCAAAGGTTGATTTGCAAAATGCTTGACAAAATCCTTTAAAGATGAATATTCATTGAAGCCAAATTTAAATGAGTACCCAGTATATTCAACATGAAAGTGTTTGACAGAGTCTTTCGCTCTGAAAGAAAAAAAAAAGTGTTTAATGTTATTTAACAAATGACAATTCTTTTTGAAGGCAAATATAGCAATGTGTTAGCATCACCGTAAATAAGCCTCTGAGGATGCTGAATGCACAGCCATCAAAATCACTGAGCATTTTAAAGGCTGTTGTTCATTTCTTCTGGCAGGGAATACTCTCAGCTTTTTACTCTACCTGAAGACAAGAGACAGTTCCCCTGCCTGCTCTTCCACTGACTGCAATGATTCTTGAATATTAACCTCCATAAAGGCCATGCATTCAATGACGGGGTAACAGACAGGACATGTGTGTCTTTGGCCCTCCTCCCTTGTCTGGGAGTTGGTCAGAAGCCTGCTTCTGTCAGTGAGCCACATGACCCTAGTCTTCCCCACCTCGCCTGCCTGCGTGATTATCTATGGAATAGATTTCAAGGCTGTCATTTCCCACTTAATCTTCAAGGTGAAAAGCATTGCATAAAATCTCTCCTTCTCACTTCATCTGTTCATTTATCTTCTCCCTAGTCTCACCTCCCACTATTCGGCCAATACCCCAACTTCAGAATATATCAGTGTCAACAGTAAGGTCTGCTGAGACAGGTTGCTGGGTTTCACGCCCAGACAATGATTCAACAGGTGGAAGGTAGGCCCTCAAGAGGAAGCTTCTAACAGGTTCTCAGTGGATGTTGCTGATCTGGGGTGCCAGCTTCAGCATCTCTGTCCATCTGGACCTGCTGTTCTTCTAGAAGGTTTTTCCGTCTTTGTTCCTTACCTCTTCCAGTTGTCCCTTCCTGTTAGTCTCTGCCGGTAAACAACCTTGAATCTTCCTGAAAAGTCTACCTCCTTCCTGAAAAGTTGAGTGTCCTTTGACTTCTTGCTCAAAAACTTGCCTTCTTTTATGCTATTGCTACACTCTGCTTTGTAGCAAGATTTGGGTCTTGGTGGCCCTATGAGGCTATACTTCTTGCTAACAAGGTCGTTGAATTAAGACGGCTGGTACAAAATGCACGCTTTCAAAGATCTATTATTAAGGGAATGGACAAATAAATGAATAAAAAGAATCATAACTGTAAACAACTGGTCTATGGATGCCATCACCTCTGATGGTAGCTTCCCCTCACCCTAAGGGTTACCAAGTATTTGCAATGAAAACCAGTGATTTATATTTTAATTTTTCATGAAGATGAAATACATGCAATCTATTTGTAAATAGCTTATGATCAGATGAGTCACACGTAGATAAAACTTTAGTTACTATCTGTGATCTAATAATTGTACCTGATGCACGGTACATGTACCTGTGTTCTCACATGTGCAGGTACATGTGTGTATAAGCACATGTGCACATGTGTGCATGTGGTTGTGGAAGTCAGGGGTTAACCTTGGGTATCATTTCTTGTGAATCTTCTGCATGGATCTTTTTGAGACAAGGACTCTCACTGTACCTGAGGTTCATCAATTCAGCAAGTCTGTGTGGCCAGTGAGCCCCAGGGATACCTCTGTGTCCTCCTCTCGTGTCAGGATTATAAGCACATACCAACATTCCTGGTTTTCTACATGGGTGCTGGGAGTCCAACTCAGTTATTTTCATCTTGCATAGACTTAGCTATTACTGACTGAGATATTTCCCTAGTCCCTAGCCCTGTTATTTAGAAAATTTATAAATAAAACTCATCAGGATGACTCCAAGTATTAATAGATATACTTTTTCCTCCCTTTGGCTGCCTAATTTGTTCCCTACTTTTTGGCTATCTCGCCTTCTCCTTCTCAAATAGGCACGCGGACTCACTGCTAGAGAATGAAAGGGATGCCAGACAGAATTCATAGATGCCCCGACCCCAACTCCAATGTATATCCCTGTTCCAATTATCCAGGTAAGAACTAGTCAAGGTGGAGTCATGAAAAGATTTAGTGTACTGTTAAGTCTCCAGACTGGTTCATCTTAAAAAACAGGAAGCGTCTCTGTGTGGGCCTGATGTCTTCACTCGATCTCCGTGGAACAGAATTCTCCATCACAGGAGAGGGTAGAGAGGTGAGCTCTGGCTGGCAGGAAGGCAGCAGACATTCGTGCCATGTGTATTACTCATACAGGCTACATGGCACAGACCGCAGTGGCATCTGTCAGTTGACACTGCTCCCTGAATGACAGCTAGAGGAACAGGGACACTTGTGCTACCAAAGCAGGGAAATGAAAGACAGGCAAATGAGGTAAGGAAAGGAGGAAGTGGTGCTAGGGTTCTGCGTTCCAGACAAGAGCCCCAGCTGCAGCTGAAAACATCTTTATGTCAGGCTGGTAGAATTTAAATAGAGAAACCACCCAGGCAAGGCCTAGACTTTAATGCATGCAGGAACAGTGACATGGTCAATTTGTATAGTTTCAAGCCATTATAATTTTTTTGGTGACTTGTTATATAGCATAGAAAATAAATACTGAAGGGTCCATGTCTGAGGAGAGGATAAACAATATGCTACATTTTTTGCTTTTGAACTCACTGAAGCCTGTCGACAGTTGTTTAGAGAAGTACTATTTTTTGCGTCTGTTTGTGTGTGTGCATTCATGAACGTTTACATGTGTGCAGGCATGCTTATATGTGCAAGCGCATGTGCATATCTTTGTGTGCGTGTGACGACCAGAGGCCAGCCTTGATTATTGATCCTCAGACAGCACCCATCTCTGGCTTAGAACTCACGAAATAGACTAGGCTGGTTATCCAGTAAGCAGTGTCTTAGCAACAGAATTGAAAATATACACTACCATATCTGACTTCTTCCATTCTTCCTTCCTTCTACTGCCGCTCCCTCTCCCTCTCTCCTCTCCCCTCCTCCCTGACTGTGACTAAAACAGCTAAGAAAGTAAGAAAGTGTTTCCCAGGTTGGAGAGCTAGCGTAGTTGGTAAAGTACATGCCTTGAAAGTGTGAGAACCTGAGTTTGGTCCCCAAAACTAAAGAAGAAAGAAGACGGAGGAGAGAAGGGGAAGAGAGGGAGGGGAAGATGAAGAGGGAGGGGAAGGGGGAGAGGGAGAGAGGAGGGAGGAGTACCAAAACCCCAAACCAAATAAACCAAAATGGCTGATCTGGATGAGAAGGAGCTAGGAACAGCATCAGGGATGTAGCCACTGCCATCCCGAGAGTGCAGGGAGGCCAGGAACTTAGAGAAAGGAGAGAACGGGAGAGCAAGACTGGCCTGAGGGACTGTCCTGAGAAGGGAGCACATGACTTCCAAGGGTTCCTGGATTTGTGGAAGTGCTGCCACAGCTATCCAATGGTCCACCAATGGTCACTACTAGCATAGAACCCTTATATGTATATCCAGCCAAGGCCATAAGAACTCAGGAACACTTAGTGCTTGCCACTAGAAGCTAGCATGTCAGGGGTTCACGACTATAAGCGAAGTCATTGGAGGGTGGAGGATAAACCTTAAATGCACTGGGTGTCCTCATAGCCTGGTGCAACTCAGAGGGACTAGATTAGCTCACCATTGGGGGAAATGGATGGAGTCCATAGGAAAAATTAAAGTTGCACATTATCCATTTGAGTCTGTGACTATGAACAGTGCATGGTCACAAACCATTATGCTTTTCCCGGGCAAGAAAGAAATCACAAAAAGAGGCCCAGTCCAGGAATTCAGAGGACAGTGCTGTTTCACTGTTGATTGAGCCAAGACATACAGCCTGTTCCTTTGGGTTTCAGGGTCTTCATGTGTCTAATGACAGGTTGGGATTAAATAATTGTCAGTCTCCTTTGGTTTTGACATATTTTTTCTGCAGTGAATAGAACAAGAAATATTTTTTAGTGCATGGGTATGTGTGTGTGTGCATGTGTGAGTATGTGTGTGTGTGAGTGTGTGAGTGTGTGTGTGTGTATGTGTGTATGTATGTGTTTCTGTGAGTGCAAGTGCCCCGGTAGTCAGAGATGTAAGATCTCCCTGAACCTTGAGTTACTGGCTATTTCGAACTCTCAAACATGGATACTAGGGACCAAACTTGGGCAAGAGCCCAGTGCTCTCAACCATGGAGCCATCTCTCCAGCCCTGGAAAGACTGCTCTACAATCTCACCATTCAGCATTTGGAATCCTTTAATCTGGTGACTCACTAGGAATTAGAGAATGTTTGTCATCTGACAGTGTGAGTGCTGCAAAGTGAGCAGGTGACAGATGGGACTGAAATCTTCTAAGTCCTTAGGCACCTACCTCACAGAGAGGGAGTAGAGCCCAATCTGCTCATTGCTGTCCCTCAGCAGGTAGCTACCATCACGTCCGTTGGAGAGCAGAAGGGCCTCAGCAGCATGGCGGGTGAGGTTGCTGTGGTACCACCTAGAAAGACCAGAACAGGGTTTTCCTTCAGGATGAACCATGGGTAACGTTTCTCTGGAGTTTGCCCCTCAGAGATAAATAACCAATATTCTCCATATTAAGGATGTCAGAGACCAGTTTCTCAGCCTGAAAGAGAACTAGGAATTCCCCAGATGAATGTGAGAAACGCCAGTGGCACCAAGCAGTATGCCATAGGCTGTGGTCAGAACTAGCTCCCACATCGTCCTAACCTCCAGCTCTGAAGACTGTGACCTTATTTGGAGAGAAGTGAAAACAAGGCCGGCCAGGTGGGCACAATCCAGCGTGGTTGGAATCTTTCCGTAAAAAGAGATCGCTGGAGGACAGATTTCCATACAGGAGAATGCTGTGTCACCAGGAATTGTTGCCAGAGAGCCAGAGTGACCAAAACAGGTTCTTCCTCAAAGCCTTCTTGAAGGAGCCACCCTCTTAGATGCTCGGTTTTGAACTTATAGCCCTTGAAGCTGTGAGAAGAGAGGAGAGAAGAATCTCCAGAGCAAGCTGGCTAGCAAGACTAGCTACGCCCACAAGCTCTGAGCTTGAGAGGCACAGCCTCAATGAATTAGGTGGAAGAACTATAAAGAATGGTTTCTAGCATCATCCCTGAGCCACCACATGCACGAGCACTCCCTCCACACACAAACACATGCCCACACACATTCAAGCATACCTATGTACATACGCACAAACATGACAATAAAAAAAAAGAAATGAAAAAAAATAAAGAACAAAAGTGTTCTTGAAAGCATTGGTCAATTTCTTTTTCTTTTGTCCTATCTCACTCTTTTCTAAGAGTAGGAAAATTTCATGAGAAAAACCAAGCCGTCTGGGGCCATGAGAAAACTGAAGCTGTGCAGGAAGAACCCTGGTGTTTCAGAGTTAAACACTGTTTCAAGTTGATGAATATCGAAGGAGCTGGGAAAGTCCCAAGGAGATTCAAACTGACCTTTTCATACTCCGTGTTTTTAATTGATCTTTGTGGTTTAGAAAAGGTAATATGTATATACATATATATATATATATATGTGTGTGTGTGTGTGTGTGTGTGTGTGTGTGTGTGTGTGTGTGTGTATGGCTAGAAGACAATACAAATAGAGCCCTTTTCTTACCCTGGAGCCTCAGTTTCCCTGTTCCTTCTTCCAGAAGACACTTTTCCACATAACTGTGTCTCCATCTCAGAGCTAGTCCGTGAACTTAGCTAGTATTCGGTTCTATCCCCACTTCCTAATTCTACAGGGATAAGAGCATTCTAGGCCATGGTCATGTACTCTGGGCCTTTCTCTCAGAGATAGGTCCTTCATTTGGTCTTTAAGCAGTGCGGTAACTGGGGTAGTGACCCTGGAGTCATGTTGCCTGGGTCCCAATCCAAGTGATGCCTTTCACTTGAAACAAGACCTTAGGCAAGTTACTTGACCTGTCTGAGCAGTTTCAGCTCCCATACATAGCCAAAGTCAGACGAGCAATATCTGTGTGGGGCTGGAGAGATGGCTTAGTGGTTAAGAGCACTGACTGCTCTTTCAGAGGACCCAGGTTCAATTCCTAGCACCCACATGGCAGCTCACAACTGACTGTAACTCCAGTTCCAGGGGATTTGACATCAATGCACATGAAATAAAATTAAAGAAATTTAAAGAAAAAAAAAACCCCAGTATCTATACCTCATAGGCCAGCGGTCAGGATTGCTTATGTTAATACTGGTGACGCGGCAAACAGCAGTACTCAGTAGGTTAGTTACCATCCCTAGTGAGATCCACTCAGCTATACCTGACAGTGTCTCCACTGCGGTTATCATCCTTCTTCTATTTTGTATTATTTCGACTTAGTCCAGAAAGCTAGGCACTAGAGATAGTTGCCAACTGCAGGGACCCCCAGTCTCAGAATGCTGGTGAGGCAGAGATGGCCAGTCACTCAGATGATGCTGGTGGTGTTAAGGAGGCATCTGAGGGGTCCAGGCAGTGAGAGATCTTTTGGTCAGCAGTGCAGGCATCCGTTGTGGTGTGCCTGTGGTATGAAGTCTCAGCCTGAGCGGCTGAGCAGTAGAGTTAAGTGGGGCTGTGGAAGGGACCCGTGCTGGCCAATGCTGTTTTCTCTGGCAGATCTCCTCTCACAGATGACATTGCACAGCCGCTGACGGAGACTGGAATGTGCCCCCTTCTCTGTCTGACTACCACCTTTTTATCTTTTTTTTTTTTATCGCAGGCTTTTGTGTCCTTTATCTCCTAAAGTATTCACCTCCCGAGTACCTTTTAAGCTTTGAATTTTGAATTGTCCCTAAAAGCTAAGTTCTGTCGTGCAGAACAGACCAGCAACCTTGTTTGTCTGGTCTGGTTTCAGGGCACGCACAACCAGCCGACCGCCTGAGCTTGCTCTGGTCTCTTCAGAACTGCATGAGGGTGCATACACAGAGCCTGCTGTGGACAACAGCTCCTGTCGTCATTTTTCTCCGTACTTTTGCAAGACTAATAGTTTTAGAAACTAGTTGACTAGTGGGCACTGAGAAGAGAAAAGGTGGATTAATGAGTGTCCACCTTGGACCCAAGCAGGTGGGGAGCAGAGCGAGAAACGCCATGAAAAGAGGGCATGCTTTCAATGCGATCCCTTCCTCTGTGGCCCCAACGGCTCTGACCTCCGACCACTTTAGCTTAGTTTAGTTTAGCAACTCTGTGGTCCCTGCCTTAGCTTAGGAACTCTGTGGTCCCTGCCTTAGCTTAGGAACTCTGTGGTCCCTGTTTTAGTTTAGTAACTGTGTGTTCCCTGCCTTAGCTTAGAAACTCTGTGGTCCCTGTTTTAGTTTAGTAACTGTGTGTTCCCTCCCATAGCAACTTCAGGTTGTCACATATCAAGATGACAAGGATTTCAGAGAGAAAACCGTACTTTCATATATTGAGAGGCTGTCTTCTGTTATATAATTTCCCCAGTTCCTTAACTTTTGCAAAAGAGAACAAATCACAAGCTTTATTAAATTCTCTATCAGTAACATGCCAGACTTTCTACTAGCCATTGGTGACACGTGACTACACAGTGTTGAATAAGGCTCCTTTTCCAACTCCGAGTCTTTTGGTCTTACTTTCTCTAAAGAAACAAAAAGTGTGTTATAGTCAGCTTTGATCCCTATGGGTTATGGATTTTCGCAGCTGTGTCTCAAGGTCAGCGCCAGTAAGAGCAAAGATGTTAGTCTAGTTATAAACTTGGCCAGAATACTTGCATTGGGTTTGTAAGAATATGAAAACTAGCAGTTGGCCTTGAAGGAAACAGTGGCCTTATCTCTCCCACGATAAGACAGCAAATTAGGAAACACCCACCCACTAAATAGTTTTCATAGCTGCCTCTCAGGGAGGTACAGGAAATAAACTCAACCACAGAGAGCACAGGCAGGCTGGATCCACAAACTCGTTCTCAATTCAGTCCCTCCAGCCTTCATCCCAGTACCTCCTCATGCTGGAAGCCTCTAAGAGACCATTCCAGCATGCTGGAAACACCAAGGTGTTTTATCCTTTGGGTTTTATTATTTTAATTTACTGGTCTGTTTATGTCTTGTTTATGCTATGTCCTTTGAAGAAAAGACTTTAAAAATTTTGAGATAGCACACAGTACGTTAAAAGCATACTCCAAAAAAGTTACAAGGAAAAAAACTTTCTATATGCTATTTACTTAAATATTTTTGATATTTACTTTGCGCAAATATAAACCACTAAGTTCACTACCGACCACTAATGCGTTGCTATTGGTGTTTGGAAATCAATAGAAAGTCTTGCTACTCAAAATTTGGGCTAGCCATTGGGGCAGCACCTGAGGGCTTGGTAGAAATGAATACTCTTGTCCTCCAGCCCCCTGAGAACTCAAGTGATCTCTGCCCTAAGAATCTGAGAAACATGAAGGTGAAAGACCCTTGATCCTACGATCTTTCATTCATCATCCCTAATGGCTTGAGCCTGATGCTTGGCATCTTGAGAAAAGAGCAAGGCAAAGTTTTCTATGGGTTTCCATAGAGAAAGAGATCTGCAGGTCAGTAGTCAGGAATCCTCGGTGGCTGCCGACCTAGTGTTGCATGCTGCTGGACAGAGCCAGGGAAGCTTCATGGAAGGAGATGATGGCACTCTGGGCTTGGCAGTGGATATCTGATCTATTAGGTAGTGAGAGAAAAGGCATCACAAGAGGAAAAAGCACAAGCAAAGACACCGGGGTAAGTTTGTGTATGGTTCATATGGACAGCAGAAGGCCTAGCTGAAGCATAGGGCCCATGCTGGGGAGTAACGCAAAATAACATTAGAAAAACTGGTGGTTTGCATCCTCATTTAAGGTACTTTTTCCTCTCTCTCCCTCCCTTCTTTCTTCCCTCCTTCCTTCCCTCCCTCCCTCCCTCCCTCCCTCCCTCCCTTCCTTCCTTCCTTCCTTCCTTCCTTCCTTCCTTCCTCCTCCCTTCCCTCCTTCCTTCCTGGCTATACTAGGGGTTGAACCCAGGGCCTTGCACTTGTTAAACAAGCAAAGCCCTCAGCTCTAGAGTATTTATTTCTCAGCGAGAAGATTTCTTAGCAACCCATGCCTACAAATTATCAACATATTTAATCACACGCCTCCCTTCTTGGTGAAGTGACCTAGAACTTGGATTCTGTTTATATTGAATTATAAAGGGACATATATTTGAACCAAAAACAGGAACAGAAACTCTTTATTATAGGAAAGCAGAAAGAAAAAAGAAGCCCACAGCTGGCATAAATACTCAAAAAATAAATGTTTATCTTTTTTTTCTTCTGTTTCAAAATTGTTCTCATTTTAAAATGACGGTGACAACCTCTGAAGTCTTTGGGCCTCAGAGGACAGATGGATAATGTGTCTCTCCTTCTCTAAGGCCATGGCATAGATGATTGATCTGTGGTTGAACTTACAGCTTGGCTTCATAATCTCTGTGAACACAGTGAGGAAAAACCATGAGATCTCTACTGGGCTTTCCTGATCCAAGCTGTCCCTACTTGGCTTGATCTGATCTTAGTTCCTGAGTTGTTCCTCAGGACTGGTCGGATGCTGATCTCACTTGTGTACTTTTGTGCATAGAGTCAATGCTGGATGCTTCAACCGTGAGAAAGGCCAAGCTTTGGTCTCTCTGTGCCATCAGAAATTGCCGGTGTAGGATAAAGACATCTCTCATTTTAGTTCCAGAGCTCTCAGCACTGAATTACAGTCAGGCTGTATCTAAGACAAGATGGTATTGTTCATAGAAGACACTCATAAGGTAGAACGTCACTTCTCAAGTAGAGAGAGGCAGGTAGAAGCTTTCCACAGGGTTGGGGAAGTTCAAAAACAGCTCAGGTAGGTGCAGCACACTGCACGGAGGAGGCTGAGTCTCCCCCACGGTCTTTCCATCTGGGAGTTTTCGGTGATGGAATCAGCAAGGCTGGGACTTTCCACATCACTGTTTTAAGTGTCCTGCCTATACACGCTGCTAGCGGTGCTGAATGGCTAGTTGTCCGAAGCTTTAGGAAACAGACCTGGCAGAAGCACCACGTGCAAATAGCTACCCACTAAAGCTGGGTGTTAAACCTCAGCTCAAAACAAACAAACAAACAAACAAACAAACAAAACAAAACAGCACTGAAAAAAGAAGTATAGAAATATTTTTATGTGGGGTTTCTGCCTCCACTCTAACCTTGTATAGCTCCCGAATAAAAGGAATAGAAACCTTGTATTTTCATTAACAATCTGTAAGCCTAAACTGAGCAGGTTCTGAGCTATTCTAACCCACATCCCAGCCATAGGTCCCATGTTATTTGCCAACCTGAATCTAGCTCTGTTTGCTCTGCTCCATGTGTGTTCCCAGGACAAGTTTCTTTTGGCCACCTGCTCATGGTCCATCCTGACTCGTGGCAGTCTCCTTCTTTCCTCATCTTTTTCCCTTCTCCCCCTGGTCCCTGAGACTGTTCCCCGACCCCCCCACACACACACCAATAATCAATCTCCAGTCCTGCCTTCCTCTTTCTCCTGCCTAGGGAAGCAATCTTTATAACACATTGGTCAATACATTGTCTATGTCCAGACTACAACCTGATCTTGGGGCACAGAACTCAGCATCTCAATACACAGAGCACAAGACCAACCCTGACACAGAGGTAGTCAGAGACCAGGATCAACCTGTGCTTGGAGTCTGATAATAAGACCAGAAGTTCTGGAAAATGGAAACACTGAGACAGACGGAGGAAGAGGGGCAGAGACTCAGAAACATGGGAGTCAAAGAGAGACAGACAGAGATACAAAAGGACACGCTGTGCAGGCCAGTAATCACAGCACCCAGGAGAGCGAGACAGGAGCATTGGGAGACCAAGGCCAGGCTACGCTACATAGTTGAACCAAATCTGAGCAGATAAGGGGAAGAATGGATAAAGAGAAAAGGGAGGGGGCTTCTCTCATCAGGATCCACCTCCAAGTGGAATTAAAGAAGGGAAGAGATTAAAAACAAAAAAAGGAAGAAAGAGGAAGGGAGGGATAGAGAGGGAGGTGGAGATCACGGATCTCATCTCTCGCACAGCCAGCAGAAGTATGTGTACTGTGTGCGTCGAGGAACGCTACGTAGTGACGTAGTGAAAGTACACAGAGATAGACCCAGTCATCTCCAAGAGAGACAGAGAACACAGCGGTCCCACAAAGAGACTCACAGAGCAGACCCAGAGACAGATCCATGTGCCCAGAGATGTTAGATACTGAGATCGGATGAGGGACACAGTGGCTGACTGGAGAGAGGGGTAG